AAATACTAAAAATTTTACTAAATAAAATAATAAAATTTCGCAGAAAAACAAAAATTTAATTTTAAAAAAAGTTAAAATGTGTTAAAAAAATTATTTTTCCTAATTTTTCGAAGTGCAAGAATAAATGGCATTTAATAAAAAAATGTTGAAAAAAAGTTTTAAAATAAAATAAATGCTCAAAAGGAGCAATTTTATTTAGTAAATAAATACCCCAATAAGTTGCCTTTTAGTAATTAACTTCTAATATTATGACGAAAAACTTTATATAGCCTTCTTCATAGTAGTTTATCAACAGTATTGTCTTATACTCTTGTACTAGCTCCGTGGAGTCTTTTATTTCTTAAAGCTCCTTATTCGTTAATTATAAAAAAAGTCAAGTAAAGAGTAACCATTGTTGTTACTGTTGTCGCCAATCCTTCGTGATCCAGCGCCAGCTGAACCAAATTTAGGAGTTCGTGAACCCTGGCAAAATCAAGCACCAAATACGGTTTGCAAGAATAAATCTGAGTTCTAGATGCATACAAGAAAGGACATGATCGAAAGAAGTGGGATTGAGAATGCATGTGGTGCATGTGGGGAAGACCCTGCTTCAGACTCGAAGGTCACACATTTCAAATGTTCACTAATGAGTCACAAGGCAGCAGTTCAATCGCATCTAAAGTAACCGTCAAAATATGTAGGTAGACACTTTAATTAACGTTGCACTAGAGCTGCACTGTGCGCTATTAGCGACGGTCTGGGAAACATCCCTGAGGATGATCCGAAGACATGCCATTACAATTTTGATTCTCTGCAAAGGGAATGGCTCCCCTGCTTTGTTAGCGTGACGACCTGCGCACGAAGTCGAGCACTTTACTGTAGAACAGTTTAGCGAGGACCGATACCGTGCACCCTAGGTCCTTACGCAGGCTGATCGTTAAAATATGTTATAAGCATATTCGCTGTTTCTGAGTAGTAAAATCTATAAATAAAATAAGTCTAGAGAGGCAATTAAAAAAAAATTGCATTTCATTCTTAAAATTTTTTTTTAATATGCTACTTATCAAACTTGGTGCTATGCAAATGCATACAAAAGTGTAGATTTTCACACAGACATTTTTTCAATCCATCAAAATTTGTAGAGAAATTTTGAGTGGTGAGTAAAAGGCTCCAAAAATATGCATCAGCTTCAAGTTTGCGAAATATCCTTTTCTTCTATATAATAATATTTTTCTGAGATACCAGACTAGTTAGAGAAAAAAGTACGGTAAGTGCGAAAAATAAAAACAAAGTATTCAGAGTCATGCTTGATCGAACTTTTATACAAATGCGAAGTTTCTTCGTGAATAGAGTAGTAAACCTGGTTCAGCCTAAAACTCTCAAAGATCTCATAACAAACGAAAAAAAAACAATGCAATTAAACTCTATTTTAAATTAAATATTAATAACGAATAAGTCAAAATGGCACCAAATACAGTGAAAACAGCTCTTCGAGTGAAGTAGATGCTTTCACATGCCGATAATTTAGAAACAGGCCTATCCACCATCCCTCGCACAAACTTAAGAATACAATCTCGATTTGCTGACATCGAATTATCAGAGAGATATTCATTTTGCACGAACAGTCTCGATGCAACCAGGTTCTTCTGCAATTCCAGTCCCACCTGAGCACTAACAGCAATGAGTACAAATAAAAACAACATCGCATTCAGTGCCAGGTATGTTTGATCTAAACATTCATCAGGATACATGGCACCATCGCGAATCAGCATTAGTGCCAATTCAGTGAACAGCATAACAGAAATTCCTATTATGAACATTAAAGAAGGCAAGGAAAACACGAATTGGATGTTATCAATGCTATCCATCACCAAGTAAAATGCCTTGAAAACACATTGCACTGATTTCACAGATCCTTCAGTTCTTAAACACTTCAACTTCTGCTTATAAGAACTCAGGACCTGACTAACGTTGTAGCATATGGTGCAGTATAGTACAGTGTATATCCCTGTCACCAAAGGATGGAAAATGTACAGAAGGAATTGCTTGAATATCAACAAAACATGCAAATCAGGTTGCTTGAAAAGGTATTTTGAGAAATATATGATTGGATCTAAGTATAAGTAATCGCCAAGGGAAGATAAATGCGCCAAAATGACAGAGAATATGAAGTTTGTCACTAGTATGGCGGCAATTAAAATGAATCCAAAAGGTACTTTGACTTTTTTGACTTTTATTACATTTATAGCATGGTGTAAATCGTTGACGATTATCTTAATTTTCTTCTGCCTAAGGTGTATGCAAACCCACATGACTAGGATGGCCGAATGACTCATCATGTGCGAAATAGAAGGTTTTAATAAATTAGAATAATGGTAAGTGGTTAGAAAATCCATAACAATTCCGTCTACGTACAGAACCAGGTTGCAAAAAGTAAAGATATGTTTGAAAAACTTAATGTAGGAACTTTTCTTGCTCCACGCAGTTTCAATTATATCTAGACCAAAAATGCTGAGTATCATGCCTAGATATTTGTGCATGATATGATCGGACATAACATAAATAATGTGTTAGGATATCGTTAGAGAAGTACTATGGGATGATATAAATGTCAGGGACCACCCGGGACTGTCGCACCTGTGAGTAAGGAAGTAATATTTAAATTTAACTTCTTGAGGATACTTAATAAAACTTCAGTTAATAAATAAATATATGCTGTAAAATTTAGTTCTTTGCAAATTATTATAAGAGGAATAATCTTTATACATCATGAGTTTCATCCAATAGTCTAGCGCTAAAAACCAGTTAATTGCTTTTACTGTAAGGACACAAGCTTGAAAAGTCTTGTTTGAGCAAGTATTCGTTTCTTCATTTCGATAGAACTCTGAGATAAGAGCTTTAAATATCTTGCTTTTACCTGAGCTTAAATGCTGCAAGAATATGTGCTTAAAAGTCTTGTTTTTTACATATCTTCAATACCGAACGATATATTTTTTTAAAAATCCAGTCTTTACTAGAAATTTAGTACTGTAACATTTATAATTCTAAAGTCTTGTTTTTAAAGAATACATATATGTTTGAAAGTCTTGTTTTTAACATATCTTCGACACCAAACGATATATTTTTTTTAAAATCTAGTCTTTACTAGAACTTTAGTACTGTAACATTCATGATTCTAAAGTCTTGTTTTTAAAGCTTCTTCAGTACTGTAAGATATTTTTTTGAAAAATCTTTTTTTTAAATTTTTTATCTGCGATTCAGTGCTGTGTGGTGTGTTAGAAAAGACTTGTTTTTAAAAGACCTCCGTTACGGTAGGTTAAATGATTGAAAAAACTTAATCTTCAACCCTTTAAGAAGCATGTTCGATATGTCTTGTATATTCTGGGGCTTCCGTAAGCTAACATATACATTTGAAAAGTTCTTTTTTTTAAAAAAGTTTAGTATTGTGAGATAACTATTTAAATGAAAAGTTTAATTTTTACCTATGCATTAAAAGACTACGACATACAAATGCTTGAAAAGTCACGTGTTTAACTTCAAAGTTGTAAGATATATGTTGAAGAAACTACTGTTTAAAACTATTTAAACAATATTTAAAATATTCATTTCATAGATTCTTGATGCTTTAGTACTATTGATCTATATTATTTTTATAAAAAGGAGTTATTCTAACTCGCAGAACATAGACACAATAAACATTTTTAACATACTTAACAAACCGAACCAACTTGTTTGCATTGGAGTGACTCGAGTATATAAAAAAACACTCAACGAATTGAACTTTTCGACAATATTTAATCTGTAAAAATAAATTTTCCAAAAAGTACATCGGGAAACGAATAAAGAGTTAATTATCTTTTCCTCCTTAAATAACAATTGCAGCTTCTCAAAAAATATCACCTAAATACTGCACTGCAGCGTCATTTTTACCCAAACAAATTTCGTGTTAGTAATCGATCAAAGAAATGCTTTTTTAGATTAGCAAAACTCGACGTAAGTTGACGGAAATCCGATATAAGACGAAGAAGATTGATGTTAAAAATATTAAACTCAGCTACAATTCAATGTTTTCTTATTAAGGTTACATCCACGTACTTTGTAAAATAAAATCGATGAGTAAGTCAATGGCTTTCAAATTGCAGGTAATTACCAAGTAGATTATATGACAGTAATAAGGTTGATACTTTTCCTTTTCCTTGGTTCATTGTTATGTAGTTAAAATACAAAAAATCAATAATAAGAATATTTTATTTTCATGGAACTATGGAGCTTATGTATGGCTTTACGGCACTTTCTAAAAATAATATTTTTAATTAATTGTAAACTTCTGGTGTTATTTTTTATTTTGTGATAAGGGTAATGGAAAATTTTACTATTATTAAAATGGGTCTTGGTAGCCAAGTGGTTATAGAATCGGACTCCGGCCGGACAGGCCGATCGCCGATATTCCCCAAATGCAAGAGACAACTATATATATATATATATATATATATATATATACAGTGGAACCCGCTTAAAAGTTCCCTTTTAAGAAGTTTTCCCGCGTAAGAAGTTATTTTTTAAAAAAACCAATTACCATAATGTTAAATTTACTTTTATAAGAAGTTTTTTTCCCGTTTAAGAAGTTTCCTCTCCTAATTTCAATTTTTTAAAATTTTATTTAAAATGTCTTATTTAGTTTTAACTTGCCCTTACAAACACATGTATGGGTACTGACCACTGACCTTCATCACTCCTTTGTTACAAAGAAAGGTGACTTATCAGGAACAGGTGTGAGCAAAGGAATGTGATCCTTTAGATGAACTATGAAACTGATAAGAATGTAGGGAATAGCTTTGTCATTGTGTCCACCTTAAATGAATAGCCTGGTGACTCACGAACTTCACTGCTGTCCACACCCATTCAATAACTGAAGAGAAAGATACATCTAAACATTTAGCAGCATTTCGTTGAAAATTTTCTTAGTGTAGGCGCTTATGTTATCTTAAAAATCATCGTAAAAAGTTTGATTTTTGTGGAAAATGTCCTGTAAAGGCATTAAGCGTAAAGCTCTATCTATTGATGACAAAGTAAAAATTTTAAAAGCTGTTGACAGCTATCCTCAATTAACACGAGTTCAAATAGCAAAAAATTTAGATCTTCCTGTTACTACGTTAAATGGCATTATTGCTAAGAAAGACATCATCTTAAACTCTTCTTGTTCCGGTGCATCCCAGAAAGTAAAAAAAGTGAAGAAAGGAAAATACGAAAATATTGAAGAGAAACTGATGATATGGTTTAAACAAGCAAGATCCGCCAACATACCTGTCAACGGAACTCTTCTTAGAGGAAAAGCATTAGAGATTGCGGAGAAATTGAATGTTGATTTTACGCCTTCCAATGGATGGATTGATCGGATGAAAAAAAGAGCTGGTCTAGTTTATAAAACAATTAAAGGAGATTGTAACAGCGTTGATTTACAAGAAGCTGAAGAATGGAAAGCTAAATTACCTGAAATTATTTCAGGGTATCAACCAAAGAACATTTTTAACATGGATGAATGTGGACTGTTTTTCAATCTTTTACCAGATAAAACTTTTGCCTTTAAAGGTGAACCCTGTCATGGCGGAAAAAACAGTAAAGAACGTTTGACAATTTTAGTTNTCATTGTGAATCAAAGATGGTCGCTCAGAGCGCAGCGTATAAGAGAGGAGAAAATCAGATTTTTTAAAATTTTCAAGCTATTTTCACCAAACACTTTTAATAAATTTCTGCACATTTTTGTTGCATTCCTTCTTTGTTGGAATTTGTACAAAATACAATGGTGCACATGAACTTGAACCAACCATGAATAAATGATCAGGTTTAACTTTAAACTATTAGGAATCATCTTAATTTTAGTTCATTTGCTGAGTCAGTGCGTATACATTCAGTGATAAAAAAAGGGAGCCAATTGTAAGCCAAATAAACAGCGCAAAGCAGTTGAAAATTATTCTTAAAAGAACTGACAAAACTTTACAGTAGACATCATTTCATAAATATAATAATTTCATTGAAAAAAAGATTTCTATGTATTAACAGCATTAAAATATTGGTTTTTAAGGTAAACCATGTTTGTGCTACATTGATCACAAGAATAGATAAGAAAGTTCAATAATAAAATCATTTTGCAAGAACAGCTTTTCTCACTGTTGTCAATAAAAAATCATTAAAAAATTATACTATCATATTTCATACAATTATAATAAAGAAAGCAATATTACTTACAGTACTATGTCCGAAACCAGGATGATTCCAGCCTAACACTGAATAACTGGCATCAATAGGAGTTCCTGTTATTCCAAATTCATAAAATCCAGAATTACCTTCACAACAGATAACCTAAATTTAAGATAAATTAATTGATTGAGAAAATTTTTTGTTTTACAAAAAAAAACGAGGCAAAAACTTTTTAAAGCTCTTCTTTCAAAAGAGAAAAAATTAAAACTAATTTATTGGGCAATACCAATTAGATTTTTAATGTTCTTAACAATATGGTAATTGTAAAACAAAAGGAAGTTAGGGAGAAAAAACAGAAAATTTCAATAATAAGCTCTTTTATCAGTTCTTTAGACAATTTTAGTTCAATATTTTATCACATTTAGTAGCATGAATAGTAAAATATATATATATACATATATATATATTACTTTACAGTTGACACAACTAATCTACTTTGCTAAATTATTTTTTTCTACTGCTGTAATTAAAGGGAAAAAAAGATTTTTTCCAGTGCTTCGGTAGACCAAATTTTTTTTCTTCAGGTCTGTAGTATATAAACAGTCACTTGCCAGATTATTAGAGACACTATAGGATTCTATGTCAAATCTTAATTATCAGGTAATGCTGTACAACTTTATTGTTTTTACGGGGATGTAACCAGCCTGCACTTGTTTACGTTCGTGTATTAATTGGTTAGCATTGCAATGCAATGCGTTAAAAATAAATGCAAATGGGAAGTATGTAAAAAGTCTCCTAAATAAAAACCCTTTACATGTATGTTTAAATATAAAAGTACAGCACATAAACGCGTGCAAAACAAATAATTATTAAAAAACTACAGTGCGTCTAATAATTTTGTCTAATTATTATAATATACTAATATAATACCTGATATAATAAGTATTCTATATTTATATTATATACCATCTACTAATTTATCCAATCATCGAATTTATATATTGTCGAATTTAACCTATTGATACAGGAACGTAAAATAGTGCTAACCGGTTTCAACAGCGTAAAAACAATAAAGCTGTATAGAGTATCAACTGATAATTAAGATTTTACATAGAATCTTATAGTGTTTCTAAAAATTTGACCAGGGACTGTATATATATATATATATATCTTCTTAGGGACTGTTTTTTGGGAATAGTGAGGAAAAATAAATCACGTAAAATTGTTGATTTTTCTTCAGGTATAACGAAAATAAAAAATAATAAAGTTGTGACAATTAAATTAATTATTGAAGCTGTGACAAATAATATATAACAGATATTGTTTCATTAGCATTGAACAACTAAAAAATGGAGTCACCTATTTATTGTAAGACAATTAATCGTTTGACAGTGATTGAGCTGTGAACATGATTCGTCATTTGACGGAGAATATGATTTTATTTGCATTCGTATTTGATCGTAAAAAAAATGTTTAACTATCATCTTTCTCAACAGCATTCTCCAGTAAATCAAGGAGAGCTGAAATTTGTGGATTCAATTCATCTTGGAAAGAGTGATTAGTCTTTTGTTCCAGAATCAGTGACTTTAATTTTGTGACTGTATTTAAGGTTAGAGGCGACGACCACATTACAATTTCTTTCACATGATTCCAGTCATCATCAGTAAGTGATTGCTTCAGGAGCAGAAACTTTTTGATTCTTTCCTCAGATTGTATAATTTCGTTTTTGTATCTCTTCGTTTCATTGATATTATCAAAAGATACATTCAAAAGCAAGGTGGCACTTTCAAGAAAACCTTTACTCAGTGCGTACTCTATACATCTACGACAAATAAGTCGAAATTCTGCAATGTTTTCGAGAGAAGACAAGTTGTAGTTTATGAATTTTTGCAACACATCGTCTTCTCTTTTTGAGACAATGAACGGCATGTCTATGAAGCGCTTGAAAAAATAATTATCCCATTTTTTCAAAAAGTTTGCTTTAAAATGGTGAATTTCCTGTCTCGTCTCGAAATACCAATTCAGGAACTGGTCCACACGCTCATAATTGGACAAAAATATTAATGTCAAGTAGATAGCATACGGAGATGATATTGTTGTCTTAAATGTTCCAATTCGTACAGATTGATAAGCCCATCTCAAGAAAGATTCAACTGCTTGGATATTGCCATCCCATATCCACTCAATACAAATGTGCCAATGTCTAAGTCTAATAAGCCACGATATTATCGGTCTATCTTGCGTTCCTTGCTCTAGAAGTTTGCTTTTATATGGATAACATTCTGGTGGCAATGTAGATTTTGATAATAACATGTGGAGTGAATGCAGATTGCTTGAGTAAATAGCATGCTTAAATTCAGGCAGACCAAACATAAAGCAGGTAAATAGTGTAATCTCTTCTTCGGAAGCATCATTTAATATCGTAACAGCCATGCTCAGATTTTCTAATTCCAGCAAATAGAACAACACTTCCTTGCAATGAAATTCATTTTTTAGAAGTGATCGTCTTAGCCTTAAAGGACTGGCACTCCATATTTCTTCAAACATTATCATTTCATTTCCCCTTTTACTCATGTTAGAACCTATATTTAGCATTATGCATGGATAAATGTCTTCTTGAAGATTATCCAATAGTTCAAAAATAGTGGACAAGAATATTCTTTGATATGGCCAACTTTCGAACAAAAACACTAATACGTGAGAATGATTCCGAAAAAATTCGGTCATTTGAGTTCTACGATTGACATGAGATAGTAAAAAACATAAAACATCTAAAGTTTCTGAAGAACCCTGATAAGATGAAACTTCTACAAATTCCATGAATTCAGCAACTTGCAAAAGCCACTTACTCAAATGATCGTTTTTCTCCTGCTCCGACAATTTTTTCCAAAAATACTTTAGGGCAACTATGTTAACAAATTGAATCGAATAAGCAATCATATTTACATCAATACTAAGCTTATCATCGTATATGTTTTCATGATCTGTGAGTCTAGTTAGAAAACTCCCTAAATTATTCTCGATGACACATGTCCAATATAACATCAAATCATGATTGTATATATCTGTTACCCGAATGATTCTAAATCGGTTTCTAAATTGCTCTGGAATTTTCTCCCACAAAATTGAAGCATATTCCCCTAAACAGTGAGAGCAGGCTATCTCATACAAATAGCAAATATCTAAGCTTCCTAAGGTTCCATTATCGAATAGTTCCGTAAGGGATTTCACTATGTCAACTGTCCCCTCAACTGTCCAATAAATTGTACCATGTTTTATGTAATACTCCCTGAGATTTCTTTGATATCCTGTCCATTCATCGTAACTACGAAGCGCTTTCGACAACTGCAACATAATGGGTCGAATAACGTATGAGATTTTGGTCATCAGCGATGAGGGCAAACAGCTATTGGACAATTTGTCCAATATTCTTCCCTCTAACTTATCGATATCGTATAAGAAGGAAGACGCCATTTCATTCCTTATATCAGGCGCCGTCCATAGCCCAATTGCAATCGACACTACTGCAATACGCTGCAGGGAAGGTGGTTCAGAAAAATTGTTTATGAAGTCAGCTCTTTTAGTCGATTCTGTTTTTGAAGTTATGAGTGTCCAGCTTTTAGATCTCTTTTCTTTACACACTCCATCTGTAAAATAAAATTTTTAACTTTAGTTTTGAATTAAAGATTCGAATGAAAACAATTCAAAGAACATAATGCATACGCACTTTATCACGAACCAAAGTCATACATTTATTCTACATGTTACTGGTTAAGTGGAAATCAAGTATTGTTTACAATACTCAGGTTATGTCTAATTCAATTTAGTTACTATTTTATGATTTTTTTCTTTTTGCTTTTAAACGAAAAATTTGTGTAATTTTTTTTAACTTAAGATATTTTTATCAAATTGGTCATTGAATACATTTTAAAATACGAATGATTAATTACCTTATTATTTACCTACGAGGAATTGTGGTAACGCGCAGTGGTAATTTATGTAGTAAAATCAACTGGTAATTGCAGGTGACTAGCATAAAATATGAGTTGTCGTATATTGTCATACGTAAGATATACGGTATCAATGACTCTATATTTTGTTTGAACTTACAGTATGAGGAAAGATTTTAGTTTTTAGCTATGGACATTACATAAAAAGTGATACGCATTAAGAAATTTTATTAATCGCGTTTCGTTATACTAAATGTTAGTCATAAATTCTTATAATTAAAAAAAAGAAGTTGAAGTCAATGAACTATGAACATTTGTGTTCAGAAGTGCATAATTTTTGTAAGAAATTGAAAAAAAATACGTTTTAGTGTCTGATTTCGTGACTATAAATATAGCCTGCACTAATTGATTTGCATATTTCAGTTCACACCCTTGAACTATTAATAAGTTATTCAGTGTGATTCGCTTTACCTTCTTTTCTTGTGCACTGTGTAGAGCGCTAGAAAAATCGCCCTGAATAAGTTTTTTTCTAACGCTCGGATTTTCGCGTACTAAGTGTCAATCTTAATGGCTTCTAGGGGTGATTTCAAATATGCTAATATTTTATCGATAATTGTTAATAAAGTTAAGAAATAAGGCACAAAAATGTAATTTCCCTGAATAAACATTTTTTTTTTTTTTTTGCATATTTGGATTCTTGACCTACAGAATATAGGGGGTGGCTGCGATCTGGAAATTGTGCTCCCCTTAATCTTAATTTCCCTTTTTGTGTTTTTAGTCATATTTTTAAAACTAAAAGAGCAATTTAGAAAAAAAATTGCACCCGCCTGTGAAACCCATCTACCGAAAGATAATTTCACTCAAACAATAATTTTTAATAATTTTATGAAAAAATTTTGAATTATGAGGCATAAATTTTTTTACACCATAAAACCCCACGTATTTTTCTTTTGCAAAATCTAAAGTTTAAACTATTTTTATTTAGCAGAAGCCGCGATAAATTAAAATTAATTACTTTTTAAAAAATGATTTGGTGACAATGTCGAAATATTTAAATGGGGCGATTAATATTTAAATGTGGTTAACGTAAGAGGAACTTGACTTACGCACGCGTAACGTCTAATTTCATTCATATTTTTTCCGCTGATAGCCGAACGTTAATCTTTTTTTTTTTTAATTATGAAATAAGATGTTTCTTTTTAAGTCATCCGAAAATTTACTCGTAATTTAGCAAAGAGATTCAAATAAAACATTATAATTAACGAATGTTGAGTTTTATGAAATCATGTTTCTGATAAAATGTGGTTATACATATGCTTTCTTGTGAAACTTTTTTTAGTAAATTCATTAAAGAATTCATACAGTTTCAATATACATATGTATGAATTGATATGGAATAATATATTTAATAATTATCAAGCAATTACAACATAAATGAAAATAAAAGAGCTACAAAATGTATTGTTATATCGAATAAAATTGTAATATCATCGATGATCATGTTTTGATATTCTATGTCGCCACCAAGAGAATAGAATTGCCAAATCACGCCAAGATTTTTAAACATCTTAAAATTTCTCAACATGTTGTATAATGTCTTAATCTTGAAATAAATTTTTAAATTACCTGACCACGAGTGCTTCTCACCACTATTTTACCAACTATTTAAGTGTATTTCGTTCATTTTTCAAATTTTTATTTTATACTCTACCATGTAGGTTATTTTTTGAATAATATACTCATATATTTTTTAGCATTTTAATTTAGGTTTTACTTTAAATCAAGTGCCCGTTTTTAAATTATTATCAAGTACTTAATAAAAGAAAACTAAGAATTGTTGCTTGTAAAAAATTAAAAAAAAAAAAAAACATTCTGCTGCTTACTCAAAGAAAAACAGCTGATTATTTTTCTGAAATACTATTTTCTTGAAAAGTGAAGACAAATTATTACTTTTCTTATTTATCTTATTTTTCTTATTTGTATAATTAAAAGTAAGCGCAAATGTGGGTAATGCAAGAAATACAAAAGATTACATTGTTTTTTAAATGGACAAAAATGCTGGAATTACTCTTTTATTTTAAAGTCCAAATATATTCTCTCGCACTAAAGTTAAAAAAAAGTGCCCTTTAAAAAAAAAAAAAAAAAAAAAAAAAAAAAAAAAAAAAAAAAAAAAAAGATAAAAATATTTTTTAAGAAAGTTGTCTATATTATGGAAAATAAAAGATGGAAAATAGATAAATGGAAAATAAAAGCGAAACACAAACTTAGAACAATCCCGGTAGCCGAGAGTGAAATAGAGAATGAATACGTTACTAGTCCAACCTTCGCTACATCGGACAAAACAGACGCACTTCAAACATTTGACTGAAAGAACTTGGTAGTTACGCCCGTTATCTAGAATGTGATAAGTATTCAAGACCTCTTGGAAATGGTCTAGCTTTGAACTGGACTTTGAAGAATAAACTACAACAGCAATTGCTTTGCTGCACAATATCATAAGATTTCAAAACTTGAAATTACAAAGGCATGAAAGAAATGTACAAGGAGTACATTGGAATAAAAATAATTGAATTTTCGTTCGAAAATCATTATCTGTTAAACTTGTAAAAAATACCATGATGGTTACTCTGAAACAAAAGGGAATGTAATTGCAAAATTAAAATTTGACGGGCTGAATTTAATTATTTTCTAAATTGCAATCATTTGAAAGTTTTTGTAATTGCATTTTTCTCTCTCCAATTTTTCACTCTTTTTGCTATACGTTACTTTTTATTTTATTCTGCAAAAAACAGGCACTTGGAAACTTGAATTTAAAAAATGTGAAAAAATATTAGCATTCGTTAAATAGTTTAAGAATTTTCGAATGTTGTTAGTTGTTGTTAATTTACGTCGCACTAGAGCTGCACAATGGGCTATTGGCGACGGTCTGGGAAACATCCCGGAGGATGATCCGAAGACACGCCATCACAACTTTGATCCTGTGCGGAGGGGTGCTGATTTGAAACTGTAGTAGAAAATACCACGTGGCACTCTCTGCAATTTGCAGTAATGCAATCGCTGAAAAGGCTATTTTCCTTTATGAACTTGAGGCAATTTTAACACACCTGCATCAGCTATTTTATTTAAAATAAATACACTGGTTATCATAAATTAAGGAAAATTCACAAAAATCGCGATAACTCAAGAAATTACACATGGAATTTTATGAAACTTACCCACAATATACAACACATAGTAAGGTATTAAACAACATAAAAAGAAATTATCAGACATTAATAGTAGTATAGAAATTAGCACATGTATAAAATAAACAAATTGGAAGTATCGGTTTGCAATAGAAAAAGTACCTTTAATATGGAATATGATTGCCTCTAGAAGCAATACAGCACAAACAGCGATGTGTGATGCTTTCAATTATGCGGTCTATCAGTTCAATAGGAAGTGAGAGCCATTGCTCTT